GGTCATCATACACAATAAAGAGTGACAAAAGAAGTCAACTACAGCTCAAGGTTATAAATCAGTAGAATAAAATTTATAAAGTATAATAATAACTTAAGTAGAATAAAATTTATAAATCCAATAAAATCAGCTTCACCTGGTCTCAACCTAAAATATTTGTATAGTATGTAGGATTGACAATATCTGTATTAAAGAGATTCTATTAGACTATTCATAAAGGACCAAATGTTGACCTCATGGATACCAGAGGAACCTGGGCCATAATTAAAAAGGGAACTTCTAGGGTAAGAAAAAAATAATACCCCCCAAATAATAGCAAATGTATGGTTTTACAGCAGAAAGCACTGCACAGAGTGCTGACTTTTCACTTCAGACCTCAAGATTTGCTTTCAGCCAGTTTCTTTCCTCCACCTGGTTGCTGTATCATAGCAGTGGTATCAGGGGCTCTTCCTCACGGAGGGAAATGCCTCTGTGAGAGGCAGCAGAGTGGTAGTGGTTCCTCCCTGCACCCAGCCAAGTGACCTCACTGGGATCACTAGGCCCCTGTGGTGTTCTCTAAGGCTGTGGAAGGTGCCCTGAGCATCAGAGTGATGTGGCCTGAAGAAACACTGTGGGCCTTTTAGTGAAACTGAAATGCCAACTGCAGTGCAAGTTATCTAAGAGTTACCACTGGATTTTTGTGGCCAAATTGTAGGGTTTTGTCTCCTGGTGGTGGCTCACAGCCAGTCTGTGACTAATCACTGATTAGTGATTCCAGCCCCGTAGCATTAATATCTTCCATATAGCAGGATTTTGAACAATGAATACCACAGTGCATGAGCCTGCACTTCAGATTGGAGGAGGGTGACAAGGACAATGCTCTACTTCAATATTGTCATTATTGCTGCATTGCTGACATTTGGTACCCTCTTTGTAATTGCTGAGGGAACAGGCCTATGGCTGTGTAAGCAGAGGTGCTCCCTTTCACAAAGGTTTGGCTTAGTTATTATTTGACAATTATTGTGTTTATAATTGCAGAGCAGACATAACAAAACTTTTCTAGCTGTAAAAGCACTGCTTCCTTGTTTGTATGCCACAACATATTGCTGCTAAGCATTCAGCTTTGGGTTTGTAATGTTTTGAAAAACTAGTTCTAAATAAACAAAAACAAAGGGAGACTGGCAGCTTTAAGCTGATTGAGTGTCCTTCAGTGTTAAAACGTGTTTGATTTAAGAACAGAAAGATTCATTAATGCCTATTTATAATCTATTTTTAGAGTAATTCCATGCAATTACTATTCATATGACTCAAGCACCCAGGCTGAATTCTAGCCAGGCAATAAAAGGATAATTTTGTAATGCCAGAGTCTCTTGAGAAGATTTGGAGGAAAATGCAAATCAACTAGTAGTTGATCATTAGTATGATAAAGCTGTGCACACTAACTCGCTTTCTGGAGCTCTATAACTTAGGAAACACTCTCAGTGGAATATAAGACATCAACCAGCACATGGGTGCAGCACTGCTGGCTTTGTAACATCTGGGCTCTGTGCAGTTGCAGAGCAAGGAATAGCTGGAAATGAGCTCACCACTCTCCATTCCCTTTTATACTCCCAGCAATGAAGTATGTGAGAAATACTGATGCAAAGTTTCCCAGGGAGACATCAGGCATAGGGGGATGGAGGGGTGCATATGCTGGCAAACACTCTTAGAAGTGAATGAATACATGTTTATAAAACCCCTTGCTCTAACACACTAAAGATCTTCTTTTCCTGTCCATGCAAACTTTCAGTGAATCAAAGTCTTGTTTTTTTTCTCATCCTAATTCTGCTCTTCCTGACACTCCCTTTCCCCCAACACCTACATTTTATCTCCATCCTTTCTTTTCAGGACTCGGCTGGGTGTAGTGTTGCAGTGTAGGGCAGCCTGGAAGGAAGGGCTAGGAAAGGCAGCTGTTCACATTCAGTAACCTCTGCCAGAGAAGCCTTTCAATATCATGCACTTGTCATGTTAATTCTAGATTAATTAATAATTTCTGGAAGGCAGTGGAGAGAGTGGTTTTGTCTCCAAATGAAGGCAGTGACTATCAGGATACCTAAGCTAGCCCTAGGGAAATGGTAGGTTAAGACAGAGGGTATGCAGGAATACTCTTATCCTTCTGGACCAGCGCTCTGGGGCCAGGAAAGACACTTGAGGATGCCTGATGGCATCTATTCTTAGACACCTTGGAAGGAGTTCTAGGTTAACCACCTCACAAGGGAAAGAAGCCCTGAGCACAGCAAAAAATTATTCCCTGCATTCAAGATTTACACTTCTGAAAAATCATTTTAGGCTAAGATAGCAGAAAGGAAACAATTAAGAAATCAACAACCCCGCTTTCATAAAGCATTTATTTTTTTTTATTTGAAAACATTATACAGGCATTACATTGCCACAGCCAGTCCATATAGGTGCATGCAAATATCAAAATGGAGAAAGGTTTGTTCAGCTTCTCAATGCAGGATTTGGGGTTGGGATTTTGTTTGCCTGGTTTTGATTTTGGTTCATACTTCCATTTGCAGTGTCAAGATTAGTGTGCTTTATTATGGCATTTAACAATAAAATCCTACCCATGGGGTAAAATTCATATTTGTAGCTAGCTCAGGAATACTAAATGGTTTTCAAAAAAAAAAAAAGAAGGAAAGAAAACAATACTACACGCTTGTCAAAATGTTAATAGCACAAGTTAGCAATCTCTACACTATACATTGAAACTTCTTCTTATGACACAGTGGTGCAAAATTTTCAATTGCTTGGTCTATCGTTGCATGTTTCAAAACTTTATAGCTGGAACAAAGACAAGGTCTGTCTCCCGGTGAGGGTTTTCATCCGGTATCAGAAAATGACATCAGTCTTGCTAAGGGCTGCCCAGGGCCAGCAGAATCAGAGAGTTTCAGTTTGTTCAGGCAAGGAGCTATGCTGAGCTAGAGACGTCCTACGCAACACGGAGAGTAGCTGCCGTTAGATAGCCGAGCCTTTGCTGGTGCGCACTGAGGGCTCCGACTGCAGAACACAAGCGGGCAGAAGGAATGTTTTCCTCCACCAGACCTCAGTTTTTTCAGTCAACACAGTTATTTGTAAAGCTATACTACTGTTTTCCTTCGAGGTCCATCCAGGACTAGCGCCCTGGTGCTAATCCGAGCATCCACCTTTTTTATTGGGAAACACAGACAGCGAAGCAGCCCCTCTTTGCGCATCAAACTCCTCCTGCGCGAGAAGCACAGGGGATGGTGGCTGGTAGCAGAGCGCTCACTGAAACATTCATGACTTATTCCTGTACAACAGAGCCTTTCAGAATAGCCTGATAAAACCACCCCAGGTGGCACCTCTCAGCCACCCATGGATGGCAACCCCTTGTAAGGAGAAACTAACTCCCAGCCCCGTGACCTGGCCAGGAGCTCCCTCCTGCCCAGCTGTTTCGCAGAAGACTCTAACAAGCATCTACAAGTTAGTGTCAGAAAAATGAGGGGGGGAGGCCGAAGGACTACAAACATTTGGCTTAAAATAAATACTAATAAGGAAATTAATCAAAACAGTTATGCAAAAGGAAGGAATTGTAAACATGAAACACACACGCACACAATCCTCAAGGTTCTCAGACCAACACGGGGACTAATGTTCAGAGAAAGGTATTTAATTGGTACAAAAGGTAGCAAAAAAGACTGAGATGACAGGTGCCCACCAGTGTGCCTCTGGGCACCTGAGGGAGCCATGATTGTAATCAGACCCCTTCTCCTAGGGAATGTATGAAATCCACCCTACATCAAAGCTCTCACAGGGCTCGACCCAAGGATCTTACCCTGAAGTGTCAAGGAATCTTTCTTGTGTTTTTTATTGTTTTCATTTAGACTTTCCTTAATATCCCCAGAATACAGACCTTGTTCTTCTGTGGGAATTCAGTGGTTTTTATGTTTTGTGTTTTTTTAATCCTCAACATCATATTATTTTAATCCTCAAATCCTCAAAAAATTTAAGGACAAAAAATTTCAGAAACATGAGTGCTAAAGAGATTAACAAAATAGAAGGCAGGAAAAAAAAATCCTACGTTTGTTAGTTTAGTACCAAGGCAACTTAACCAAAGCTTTTGGGCTACTTTTGGGCATGATTTGGAAATATTGCAGAACCTTCCCTCAGGTGCAGCAGGGTTGTGGCAGACAGCCTAAACACAGTGGGAAAAAAATCACCTCTTCTCCACAGTAAGAATAAGATACAGCATACTTGTGCTGTTCAAGAGCATTTTGACATTTGCCACTTCATGTCTATTATGCATATATACACTTCTCTCAGTCTGTTTCAGGGAAGTTCCTTCTATATTAAAGCAGAACAGGAGTATAAAAAATGAATGTTACCTCAGCAGAAATTCATCCTGCTTGGTTGAACTGTATGACCTTTCTAATCTCCAGTGTATAGATTGATTTTTTTCTCCTTTTTTAAATAGAAATAGGTAAGTTGTATTTTTCAAACATGAAGGTCTACATTTTGGCTTGAAACAGTCTTTTTCAGCAGAATAACACTCAAATCAAATTCACCTTCTATGCCCGCAAGCAAAATATTCATCAACCATGCCCTAAACTCAATTTTCAGATACAACGACTGTATACTCGCTTTTACAGCACTGTTATGTGCTTCTTAAACTCCTTCTTTCTGAAGATCCTGGAGCGTTTTAAAATAACTTGGTCCCATAGCACCTCTGTGAGGTAGGTAAAATGTCATTATTCCCGTGTATACTGATTGGGAAACTCAGCCACACAGAAGGTAAGTCATGCCCAAGGATTCATGCAAAGATGTGGCAGAGTGGTGAATAAAACCAGGATCTCTCCTAGATTCCTCACCTATTGTCAGACACAGGAACACCTCGTCCTCCTTAATTTTAAATTACAAATAGATAAAGGATATTGAAATAACGATTTCCTTGTACCGGGCTCTCAGAAGAGCAAATATACAGGCAAAAATGGATTTTTCATGGTGGTGACTAAGATTTCCCCCATTCTGGTAAGGCTACTGAGGCAAAAGTACAGTTGTGTACAGAAGAGTGGAGCACACCCTCACTATTTTCACACGTCCCCAGGAATGTAAGAAAACTGCTGAATTCTTCTGCTTGCTTCACAGTTAATGAAAAATAATTGGCTGCACCCTGCCAGTAAAATGCCTTTATGCTACTGCAGCAACACCAGCAGATGGTCAGGTCTTTCTGCTCGTGAATTCCTCTCTTAATCTTCCTGATTTTTACAATCTGTGGGTTTTGGTGAAAAACTGACACATTTCTAAATAGCTATTGTTAGAATAATGAACCATGGGAAACTAAGCAAACTGGAACAGCAGAAGGCACCCTCGATGCACTGAGTATCTAAAATAAGTGCCCTGATCCACATGATATGTCATCTTTCCATGGAGAGGTACAATACATAGGAAACTAGAAAATGCGTTTTTCTTTCTACAGGTTAAAATTTCATAAAGTAAGAAATCTGTGTTGAGTCATGACTACAGAGAAACTGACTCCCTGTCACCCGATGCAGAACCTTGGCCACCAGGAAATCTGCCATGGATCATAGAGAGGTCAATGCTTGAGTACTTCACTTCTGCAAATATAGAAAGGCTAAAATGCTCGCCTTATACCTATTCCTAGAATAGAGACGGATATTGTAAGCTGTCCCTTCTCTGGATTCATGGATCAGATTACCTAGAAAGGGCAACCAGACAGATAGCACAGAGGAACTCACTGTATTTCCCTCACCAAATCCAAGTTGCTAGCAAAAATGTGTCAGGGTGTTGTTACCATGACTAACCCATCTGTTTTGTGCAAACAAACAAATTTTAGAGAGAAATTAACAGTGACTGCACAAAGTGTATTTGCTGTAAAAAGGCGTTTTTTCCACAGCTGGTGTGGCTTAGGCATAATATCACTCTGTGTGTGTAAAACACCCTTCTATTAACTTCTTTTTTTTGTAATTTCATCTTATGTATTGAATATCTTTCACAGGTAGTTTGACGTTAACCGATTCCTACACAGCAGTTTGTATTGCAAACATGCTGTTCATTTTGTAAACGAGGGACTGGCATCTCCTTGTAAGGAACACCCTGGAACAATCAATTTGTGTTTGTATGAGCTTTCCTTATTTGCTACCTTGCAGCTCACCAGCGTAACTGCACCTGGTAAATACCTTTCTCTATGTACAATACAGAGATAATGGATATACGAGCTCCACTGTCAGTAGGTGATCAACAGTCCTGGGTTTAAGCGACTCTAATGTGAGGCTCCTCTTCTGTCTCCTGCCCCAGGCTGGTGTACGTCACCGAAGGCTCCATCTGGCTGGTGGCTGGCAGGTCTACAACAGGTCCAGAAGGGTTTCGAAACTGCTTGTACACCCGAGGATCCTGGGCTACGTAGGTGGATGTGGAGGAGTAGAGCATCAGCCCAACAAGGATCGTGAAGAATGACAATAAGTAAAGTCCTGAAAACTGAGCAGAAATAACAGTGGAGTCATTAGACACAGCACAAATTAACTCAAGTTCATGAAGACCCAAAGACAGGGCTAGGCACAGATCCTTGTTTTGGCATGCACTGCACAGAACAAACTCCCTATCATGTGGATGTTAAATTTTTATGGGAATGACTCTTTGGAAGTTGATTTACTCCCCCCAGTTCCCCTGTCTTCCATAACCAAGAGCTAACTAGTGCCTTCCCCTGGGCCATGCATGTTAAGTATTGACTGGCTGGGTCTGGGGAAAGCTGAGTTTTGGTCACAGACCCAAAGCTGATTATTTCATGCTTTTAGACAAGCCAGCTACTCCTCTAAGTCCAGGTTTCTCCAGCTCCAGTGTGAGGTACCATCACCTACAGCTGTCAGACAAGCAGTGGACAAACCTGAAGTTAGTCACAGCTAAACCACATGTCTGTGAAGTTAACGTGCTGTTGGAAATATAAAAATAGAATTAAATAATAATTTCAATAGGAATTAAAAAAATATTTTATATATATATATATATATATATATATATATATATATATATATAAAATATATATTTTTAATAAAGTCACTTAAAAACTACCCTGTCTGCAGCTTTTCTTGCTTGTGAACAGAAAGCAGGTGCTAAAAGACTTAATGTGACTTTGGACAGGATGAACTTCAGCTGTGAAACATGCTCTGTGTCGACATTATGAGGTTTGAAAGTACACATGGAGGGCAGCTAACTGAAAGCTCAAGTACACATATTTTGGCACACAGCTTCACTAGATCAGAGGTCAGACTGAATTTTTTGACATATACAGACTTGTGTCTGGACTAAAAATACAGCACAAAGAACCTTTTTGGCAACTTATTAGCCCTTGCAGATAAAGCTAAAGGCAAAGACAGGGTTTCAAAAGCACAGACCATTGGGTACTAGCTTTAGATACTGGGTTCTGGTAACAGGGGACACAAAAATGGCTTTAAGCCCATATGACTTGCCTGCTGATCCTAGACTACGAGTTATTTCTTCATGCATGCTGTATGTGAGAAAACATGAAGGACAAATTGCACAGCCACCTTGTTGGAGATATAAATGATTTGTATTCAGTGGAACTTCCAGAAGTGCCTGTATTCTGCAGCTGTCAGGAATCTGTACCTGAACACCATCAACTACCTGCAACCTGCTATTAGCTGCTCCATGAGGTACTTCAGGATTTTATGTAAAGGCTTCTGCAAGTGTGTTCATTAATCCTGACTGACTCTGCTTTGATGGATGCCCCATTTGTTTCCTCTGGATCACTTTAGCACAGCACAAAATAGACAGAATGGACTATATTATCTTGAAAGTTTTTGAGTAATTCTGCTTTTTATGCTTAAAGAAATTACCATTGTGGAGAAGGCAAATTTTACTTAAGCAAAATTTGCAGTGATGTTAATTTATTGCTGTTTCATAAACCTACAAAATCTCCATCCAATCTCCTGCCTGAGGAAGCATTTGGCCTTTTTACTAATCCTGAGTATCTCTGAAAGCTTTGGTCATATAACCTGTGGTGGTACATCTGTGTGTGTTTCGCATATCCAGTATGCATGTTTAACAGGGAAAATACCAAAATGGGGAAAGCTTTTAAAGTATCTCAGAAGGATCAGAGGGTAGGGTGAGATTTGCTCTTCATCAGCTTTTAATTGTTCTTTAACATGTATGTCACCCTCACGTGTTGTCTGGCAGCACAATTTGATGAAACCACCCAGCGGTCCCACCAGTCACAGAGACGCTGTCGAGCCTCACCCTGTGCCTGCTGAAGGAATCCTTCCAGGAGACACAGCTCTGATAGGTCTGTTTAAGCCTAGGTCTCCCCCACGTGGCAATCAAACACAAGTCAATAATTCCAAAGAAACTTCTGGTTGATTTTCCCCCTTCCATTTTCAGTACAATTTTGTTCTCAGCACTTTCTTCCCCTCTTTCACTTTGTATTTGAACTCAAGTATCACTTGGCAGCAGTGAAGTTGACTAAGCTCAAGCAAATCTCAGGAGCCAAATGCATCTAGTTTCCCATCCCTAGTTTCCCACTGTCCCTCATTCCCACCTTATGCTTGAATTTCTCACCCCAGCCAGCCAATTGGCTTGGCCCACTACATAGCCAGAGTGCCAGCCAGATCTGTGATTGCCTTGTGCCCTGCTGTGAGGAATCTGTGGGGCTTCCAGCAGCTAAATGTGCTTTTTTTCTTGTTCTAGGAGCTGCCCAGACAAAATACATTTATTTTTGCTTTGGTTCATGGCTCCAGCTCTATCATATCCCCCTCCTCCTGGCCATACAGCTATTTCCTCTCTCAGGGGCTTCCTGCCAGTGGGTTCTTTTGGCTGATAATATTCTTTCCATGGTAGTGTCCTCCCTTGTGGCAGCTCTCCAGTCTGGGAGAAAGGGTTTGGGCACAGCTTGGAGAAATCTAAACAAAGGTCTGTGAAACATTTGTCTTTGGTATCTATGCACAGCTAGTTCAAAGAGACCTGCACTCTGACAGTCCTATGACAATTCCTTCCTTTTTACCTTCCTTAGAAACAAGGTTCAGGCTGAATTCATTTGTGCAGCAGCTCTCTGCAACACTGAAGTAGAAGGGTAGTCAGTGAGGTCAATATAGGAATATATACTGAAGTATATGGCAAATCTGTTTTTTTGTCAATACTCTGTCAGACTCATCCAAACCCCTTTGAAACAAATGGGCATTTTCCTCCTATTAAAACAGCAGTGAATCCATCAGTGCAATGGAAAGATGCAAACTTAGTTCCCCAAATACAAGATTTATTCATCACTGTACTATGCTACTCACACTGCAGCTGAAATCTGCTGAAATTCCAGCTGAAATTTATGGAAGATGAGATTTCCAGGCACACTCGATTGCTATGTAGGTTTTAGAGGTTTTTTTAATCTTGATCTGCAAACCTCATCTACTGAGATTTGCTATTAATAGACAGGAAAAAGAAACACATTCAAAACCAGCAGAAAGAGCTACTCCTAAGAAATGAAGTGAGGGAAGAGCACTTTTCATTGCCACTCTCTACGCAACTGCAGTACCAAACTGCAGATTCTTGGGAAGTGTGTAATTCCTCTCTGCCTAAAAAGCTGCTTGAGAATGATATTGTGCTTCATTTTACTGAATTATCTTTTTCTATAGAAATATATTTCCTCTAAAAAAAATTATTTTTAAAATATCCAGATTTGTATGCCTCTCCAAATCCTTCCCTCCATTCTGTGCAGGATAACTGTGAGTTGTTCAAAGAGTAACATGGTCAAGGGAAACTGGTTAGCTCAGATTAGCTAATGAGTGTCACACACCCTAAACAGACTACAAGTCAGCTCATGTTTCTGTATCATTAAACAGTTTGCTATGGATTTAATATCTACACATATAGGCATACATATATACATATATACACATGTATATAAACTATTTGAGACACCAGATGACTTTGTGGTGGGGTCAATGATCTAAAACTCTTAAGTCCCTGGATTTGATTTTCAACCTGTGAATTTATTTTGTGAATCACAATGATTTAGATGATCCCCAGTTTCTTAACAATTTAAAAGAGATAATAACACTTGGTTACTGAATAAAGATGAGTTTACAGAATAAAAATGGGGAATAGGGATCCTCTGAGGAGAAGGCAGAGATCTGCTTTGCAGGGAAAGTGCCTTACAACATTTCAGATTTCATGGCTGACATGAAAAGTATCGGCCAAAGCTTTTTAAACAGCATATCTGCTGTTTAAATATCCATATCTGCTCTGCTCTGACATCTGCATGTCTATAAATGCTTCCCCAATCAATAGTATTCAATATAGAACATATAAGGATATTCATAAATGTTAAAAAATTATGAAAACACACAAAAAAACCTTCTCTAGACACCATTTAGTACCGGTGGTGAAAATGGCCTACATTAAACTAACGTTACCCTTCAGCATGTGAAAGGCACGTCTTTGGTGCCTGTCAATTTGAAGATAAGACACACAAAGCAAAACCTTGACAAACATAACCAAATAATAAGATTTGGTCAGCCTATCAAAACAAGCAGTGATTCTGGTGAGTGGACATTTCTGGTATTTATCTGAGTTGTTCACTAGGAACCAGTACTTGAATGGACCCACTCAGGCAGGTTCAGCAGATGAGCTTATGGAAGCTGGTGGCTTGGCTGCAGCAATGGTGGCCTCACTCCAGTACATCCAGCTGCAGAACCCCACCAGGAAAACCACTGCAGCAGCAAGGTCCAGCTGATCACAGCAAATACAAGATGAAATTACTCTTTCTGTTACCTATGCACAAAGTCTTTGCTGTTAAAAAAGAAAGGAACTCAAATATATCTGCAGCGCTACATACAAGTGTAGATGAAGTTTACAAAACAAATTTAGCTTATATCTATAACATTTTTGTTGCAAGCCAATCAAAATTACAAGTAAGTCAAGCAAGGTTCCTAAAATAAAGTATAAAGGAACCTGAAAACTTAGTATTTTTAAAAATCCAGAATAAACTATTATACCTTTCAAAATTTTCTCCCTACCAGTTTTTATCCTCTACTTTTTACTGTCTGTCCATGTGAAACTTGTCTTTCATATATCCTTAAATCACAATTTCTACTATTTCCTCTTGAGACTGTTATGCTTTAAAGTAATCCACTTGGAAAGGTGGGAGAAAAGGAAGCTTCTTAATGGGGAAATGAGTGCATCTGATTTCATTGTCTTGATCAGTGATTAGACAGTAACAGAAGAAGAAAAAATTAGAAAGGAAACTGTTTAGAAGGTAGTAGATTCATGCCTTGGTCTGGAGACAGCGAGTCATTCTTCAGTACACGGATCATGAATTGAGAAGGGAAAGCCCAAAGAAACAGCATGGAAAAATCACATCTAGGAAAGGCTGTGCTGACTGTGTCCTGCCAAGGGAATCTGCAGACAAGTAGTTCTGGCTGTCACAGATGTCCATGTCCATGTTACCACTGACACCATGGCAAAACAGTATC